GAACTGCTTCTGGCAAAACACTGGTTCCCATTAGTTAGGATGAAGTAAACACAGAGTACAAAAACAAGCAATAGCAAATAAAGTGATTCCATTTCTTCTAAAGAGTTGTAGCCTGCCCATATTGAGCATTTTAACCACATCATCCATCTAAGGAAATAGTAAAGCCAGATTCTCCACTGTCAAGTACAAGGAAGATCTGTCCATGTGCTAGTTAGCAAGGAAACAGAGAAGGAGATAAGACTATCAGCCGAGGCGAACACTGCTGGAGGGCAGGTTCAATTACAGACAGGACAAAACACGGAGTCTCAAGAGCCTTCTGATGGTGCCTGTGATTGAGAGTTTGCACTATCGCTGTTATTTTGTTAGAAAATCTCTTCTTATGCTTTGCTAAAAAGGCAGAAAAATTCGTCTGACCCACACAGCGTTAACCGGAGCATCTCCTAGCTCTGAGCAGCAGCTGCAATAAGGTGGAGGAATACAAACACGTCCAATGCAAGACAGATCAAAGGCCACTTCATCCAGATGTTACAGAGCAATGGGAGAGTGTACCGACATGCAAAGGAAGCAGCGAAGGACCAGAGAGAGTAATCTCCTAACCATGTGTTGAAATGTACACCCGATGAGCAGAAAAAGGTAGTATAATGTGTCTGTGGTGCAAGGCTGGGCCACCGTTTACTGTTGTTCTGTGTTTTTAGAAACAGTCATCTTTTTTAATGTAACAAATTAATCATGGGCAACTATTAGCAGAAGTTTAATATCAAAAGCATCGACTGAAATGAGTAAACTTCATAACCTGATTGCACCTGCTCTTCACCACAGACAGATGGAAGTGTGGCGTAATAATTTTGCTGTGTAGGAAGTATCATGTGCAACTTGGGGCGGTTGATTCAGCCGAAAGAGGTTACATTTAGAGACCCTTTCTTTTTTTCTATCTTCACATTTGACACTAAAACTGTCATGTGCAGCAGAGTTAAAAGAATAACTTGCAAGGGGTTAATAGAAGAAACCTGATCTGTACCCCCCTTTTGCATCTCAATGATGAATCAGATGTAATGGAACACGGCTGCTGTACACATCAAATCAAAGATCAAAGTTCAGCTTGGAAATGTTTAAATAATGGGATTTCTCACAGTGAAAGCCGTATGACATGACGGGTTCTCACAGAGCCACTTTCTACACATTTGAACCCATGTTTTCAAACTTCTTAAAAAGACAAAAGTCATTTTGAGAGAGAATTAAGTCTGCGGTTTCTCGATGTCAGTGCCTCCAGGGCGTGCTTCCCCCCCAATGGGGATGCAGAGGAGAGGGCAGACAGAGGTTGAGCCAGTATCTGTCACCTGACTTGGGGTTTGTGTTCAGTGTGCTGCAGCTATGGAGAAGAAGTCACAGACTGAAGAAAGGGAATACTATTTACTCAATCAGTATGACTGGCATACTGCCTGATACATTAACTATTGAGTTTTGCATAACCTGTAGACTGGCCAACTGTAGTAAACTTCTTCTCTGCTTAGGATTAATCCACCATGGGGGACCATCCTTTTTCACCATAAATGTAGATCAACATATTTTCCTTTAATTTGATACTTTACAGCAAGTTAAATTATATATTTTTCTTGTGTTAAAAGCTCGACAGAAAATTAAGAATCCCCAGCAAGTATTTCAGTTTCTGCGGTTTTACCACTATTTGGAGTAAAGTTAACATCTTGGATTTATTCTATAAACTATTGAGAACATTTCCCCCAGATTTCAAATGAAAAAACTGGTCAAAATCAACAAAGCCTGGTCACAAGCCATCAAACAAAGCCGAGCTGCATGAGTTTTTGCTCCAGGAGTGTAGTATAAAGTCAGCCAGCAGCATTGTGACAGAGTGGTGGAGAGCATGCCAACACATATTAAAAGCTGTGATTGAAATCAGGCAAATTCCCCAAAATCACGATTGCTAAACTCTTCCAAAGTTGGTGTATGCATGTGGTGTAATTCTTTTGTTTTCATAATTTAAGGTCTAAAAACGGATTATATCCTCATTATTTACAAAAGATGAGATTGTGTTTACTTGTTGTGAAAGCACCAATAGTCAACCATACAATATTGTTGCATTATCAATATGGCGGTATTAGATCATTTCGCACCATCTGAAAGAACTAGTATGTTGTTTTACTGGAAATCCAAACTCTGTAGCAAGCAAGGTGTAAGTTCGTTTTTCTGTTCACCAGCAAAGTGCCATGTCAATGTTCCAATTAAACACAACTAGAAAGAGAACCTTTTTTTTTTTTTTTTACTGCTGAATGACGCTTAGGTACTCGCCACTTGCACACATTAACAGCTGGTAACATGCTGTGCCCTGACCATGAGGGTTGAGAGCTTAGTGCAAACATTCCCAAATTATATAAAAGTACTTATTGAAGAGGAAAGTCATTAAGATGGGAAAAAGTATTCACTAATCATAATAATCCAAATCAGTGCAGCCACAGCGGACTGGAAGCAGCTAGTTGTAACTCTAAACCAATCCACTGACAGTCCAAATTACACAGCTGAGAAACGTTTATCAAATCATGGAAATGTAAAGGGTTCTCCGGGGTCAACAGGTCAGTTCGTGAACATTAAACAGAAACTATTAAAAGATAACTTGGTTGCTATATCACACTCAAAAAACCTTTAAAATATTCCCCAAACCTTCAAACTATTAAACATTTTTGCGACGTTTACTCCTGCATTTAACACTTATTTCAGCATCCCCTAACTGTCACACCTCTCATTTACATTTATATTTTTCAATTCAATCTTGCTAATGAAGTGAGCCAGAAACAGCAATGTATTAATGTATGCCTTTAGTGCGTCAGCGCGATGTGATGCCAACACTTTGATCCAGAGTGTGAACCCTTCCTCTACAGAAGTTGAAATGCAATCAGCGCCATTGGTAGGACTGAAGTTCAAGCAGCCCTTCAACGCGTTAAAAATGAACCGAAAAATGCTTCTGGCAAGCAACGCACACTTATTAAGGAGTGACATTCAGATATGAAATAGACGGCACCAGCAGGGGCTGGCACGTTACTCCAGTGCTGCTCATTACTCTGCTCTGAGTGGGAAGTGCTGACCGGAGAGAGCCACATCCTGATCGTCCAATTCATTCAGACTGGAAACGTGTTCAACAGACAGACTGCCTGTATCAAACAAGTCCTAGGTCTGTACTATAAGCTGATTATTTATTTGAATTTGCTCGGGTAAGAAAATCAGGATCAGCGCTACAGCTGTCAACTGAAAGTGCAGCTTGTTACCAAAACAGACAAATTACAATCTCATTAAACATTAGCAATACTGCTTTGAATATATCAAATCCTCACACATGTAAATGATCCCGATTGCATGTACAAAGCCTAAAAAATGCACACACCTCATAACAATTACAGATGATCATTTAACTGGACAATGAAGATTAACACATGATAAACAAACAGCCATGCTTGCGTGCTCTGAATCTGAAACAGCTCCACTAAACGCATATCCACCATGTCACGGTATATAACCTTTGACCTTCCTGTATAAAGGCTAAATGAACATGCACAAAAAAATGTTTCTATATGGTACTCTTTCAGAAGAAAGCAGCATGAGGAGGCGAGGAGCGTTTCAGTCTATTATCAAGAAAGATCCAGCGCCTGCTGCCTCTGACATCCTCCACACTGAACTGTCCAAGATAAACTACACAAAAGTAGCTCCGGCCGCCGCTGCAACACAAGGGCAACGTTGGTCAATCTTACTTAGCTAAGCCGAGTTTAAAAAAGGTGGACATTTCTTGGGGGGGGGGGAGTGCAGAATAAGGTATGTATACACTACTTCCTGAACCAAACAAATTTGTTGGCCTATATGTGTACATTCAGTTTACTTGCTGTGAAAGTTACTTAAGGCACACTGAAAAGTATGAACATTTAAAAAAAAACAATCTGGGCCATTGAATATTAGTTCACAAATAATTTGAATCACAATAGCTCAACATTTTTGCACTATAGCAACTTCCACTGCAATAAAAGACTTTAACAACCATGTGTGCTTCCGAGAAGAACATCACATCAAATAACACAATCTCCTACTTTAGAGAAAATAAAGTATTCCAGCATTAACACTAAATTAGTGGCAGATAAATAGTAGGTTGTCCCTATTATGGCACTCCAAAAGGCTTAGATCAAGTTCAGCTACACAACATGCCTACATGTGCATGAAGTGTTTTGCCCCTGCAGCACATCTGTGAACTTTTGAGGAGCAACAAGTCTCACATGCGAACACTTTGTAATAAAGAAAGCTACCTACGCAATAACTCCCATCAAAAGCCAACTTGGTACAGATAATTTGCCACTACTTGTGATATCAACCGGTGCCCTGCAGTTGCTGTAACATATCCATGAGAGGCTCCACGCAAGAGGTGTAATCCCCTGCATGCAGGTGCTAGTGATGTGAACAATCGTTGCATGAGGTTGGTTGTAGAAGAAAAGGAGGATAGATAAAGCAGACACACCAAAACCACAAATGCCAGCTGTTGAGGAGAGCTACATTTCCAGCAGACTACTATCACTGGCAGCTGACAGCGTTGAGACTTGGAGGCTGAATGATACACACGTTTCAGCACCAAGAGCTGCACCATCATTATTGCTGTATCACAATCCAAACGCCCTGTGGCTTCACCATTTTCAGATAGGAATAACTGCCATTAGAGTATGGCTTAGGAACAAGAGTGTCCTTCAAAAAATGTTCCAGAGTTAACAAAACACAGAAGAGACATTTGGCCAGATATCTCTATTTTTATAAAAGACAGATCCATGTTTTCCTTTTATGTGGGTTAGAGGCAAGTGTGTAGTCATCTACACACCATACCATGACAAATAAACCCAGAAAAGACGTGGCTTTGCCTGTGAGAATGGCTTAACTGTGCTGCTTCCTAGTAGCGGAGAGGCTGGATCCTGCTGACTGCTTCTGAACATTTGTAAACACTTCCCACATGCTACCTGAGAGGAGGAGAGCTGCATGGCCATGCTACTTACCGAAGGTAGTACTGTTTTAAAGCAAATGCAGCGTTGGAACAACTCCTTGGCAAGTGAAACTCGTCTCCAAGTTCAATCCATTGGTTTTTATCGGAGACCTGAGAGGAGGAAATGAGTTGGTTAGTTAGATAAGCATCAAGAAAAAGAGCGGTCACACTGCAACCATCTGTCTGCTACAGGTCCCCCAATGAGGCCATCTCAGAATAATTAATCAATAACTTTCTCAAACTCGTGAAAATGGACAAAAATACTATAAAAAGATAAACTAATCCACCAGTTAATTTGGTAAAATGTAATATAATATGCTTGTTATCCAAACATATTTACATTTGTCACAACAGTAAGTACAACTGCCCAACTCCCTTTAGGATAGTATCTTTACTGTTGAGGCTAGTTAGCACTGTAGCTAACAAGCTAACTTGACTTTTAATTTTTTTTTGTGATAAGCTAACGAGGCTAACTCCCGCGAACTGTCTCTCCTGAGAAACTAACGCCTGAGCTCGCGGTGGTCCGTCTCATTTGGTTGTAGTTTTGGGACCGTGTACTGTATTCACTACATGGGCCTGTGAGGCCTACATTTTGTGATCAGCCATGAAGCCGAAGAAAGATGGCTATGGTGAGAAAGAGAAATGAAGCTTCCCCTGGGTGCAAACTGCCGGTAAAAGCCCGGGCGAAACGCTGTGTCCTCCGCGGTGTTTTCCCAGCCCGGGCTCCGTGCCGATAATCGATGTTAAACGTGCCCGCTAATTTTGAGTCGCTCCGACTGCACTCTGACTCCGAGCGGTTGGACTCTCAATTCAAACCACACAACAACACAAGCCACCACATTGCATAGAGATACATGGCAAACTAGCACAAGGCCAACACCGACCCACTACCGTCTGTGTGGAGGGTACCTGGTCCCGGGGAACCCACACTGAGTTGTAGAGTGGTCCACCGGGGAGTGCACCGACAGCACAGAGCGGAGAAATACACTTTTAGTTCCCACTCACCTTAGCAAATCCTCCTAAAGATACGACTCTGATATAGAGAGCATTCAGATCCAGCTCTTTACCACCCACGATAGGAATCTTTCTGAACGGCGATCTGAGGGGTTAACACAAGAAATAAAAGCATACATGTTTAAATTACAGTTTTCTTCAGCTCGCAAGCACATGCAAGGGGAATTTAAAGTTGTATTTCTTGGTAATAAAGACGCCCCAATCTCACCCTCTGCTTTGGTGAAATTGCCGCAGCTCGTCCAGGAAAGCCTGTCCTTTCCTTCGCTGATCTAGTAGATTTTTCCCCGTCGAATTTGCCATTGTTTTTGCATGCAAAAACGGTTAAACCCCACTTCAGTCGCTTCTTAAGACACCAAGGATCCCATACTCCGCCGGCGCTCAGTCATTCGCGAAGCTGAGTGTTTAAAAAGTTAAAGAAATAGCTGATAGCAAGAAGAGCGGCAGCTCGCTAATAAAGACTGATGCACACAGAAAGCAAGCCGATTCAACCCCGGACTAACTTCCAACGAACAGTCAGAAATACGACCGATTTACCGGCAGATTAGAAGCGCCATGGCAGGATGTGTAGAATTAATGCTTTTGGTCGCGGTTGTATTCGTTTGGAGTGGTTTGACAGTGTGTTACGGACGCAGCTCCGAGGCTATCGCACACACTGTAGAGCGGCAGAGGGATCCAGTTCTCAGACAAAAAGATGTGAAGGCCGCGGAGCCCGGCCTGCCATGCGGGCAGCGCCCTCTGCGGCCAGAGGCGGTAGTGCACCGTCCAGAGCACAGCGGCTGCTTGAACAATAGAGACTGTTTTCTTTTTTAGGGACCGTCTGACAACTCGTTCCTCTGTTTGGAAAACGGGTCAGGAGGTACTTGGAAATGTCCCGTGGGGGAGGGGATAACACTAATTAACATAGCCCCCTTGTTATCCCAACTAGGCGTTTAATAGAGGGCAACCCTTAATTTCATCAATACTCTTTTTCCAAGCCTTAGCATATTCATAACTGGTTCAAAGTGAGTATCTTTCCTCGCTGATATTAGCTAAATGAAGATAGGGTATTCCCATTAGGAATAAAGTAATCCTGTAAACATTTCATACAAATACCACAGCAATATTTTTAAAACACCAACCGGCCATCTCAATCATACAATCCATTGACATGATGTCTTTTAAATACAATATTTAGGACAAACTAAGGATAAGGGCACACATATTATTTTCTAAATAAGTATTCCTCATTGTATTTAAGATATTTATACTTTATTTACTTTATTAAAGTAAGTGATCAGTGCTCCTTTGATAAAACATGAGATGTTGTTTTTTTACTGCTTTTTCACATTTAACTGATATCTGAAGGCTTATTTACCTTTATGATATTCGTGTAGGCCTACATGTATTTGTTTTCACTACAGGTGGTGACGGTTATAGTTCAAACATGTTTTTATTTATTGACAAATTGTTTAGACCTCTGTGTAAACTTTTGATAAAAAATATGACACGTTTTTTATATATATAAATATATATATATAATATATAATCAGCAATAGCCTTATTCTTTAGCTTTAATTATCCCGTTTATCATACAGTGCCACTTGTGTTAAATCCTGTTGATTTGGGAAGTTTTGGACAACAATTAGGGTATTTTATTATGTCAATTCAAAATGAATCACCATCTGTTTGAAAACATCTATTTATAGTTTTTGGTTGTTCACACATAAAACACCAATCACTGTTATGCCTATGGTGTTTTGGGTTGTATTTATTTTTATCATGGTGTCATTTGTCGCTGGAAACTTGTTATGGTTGTGGAAGTCTGCCCCTATCCCTTGCTGACCACTTCAAAATGACTTTTATCTCACGAGATGGTAGGAAATTACTCCTGACCCGTTCTCTCTGTAACAGCCAGGCGGATATCTTCTTGATGGGGTTACATTCAACCATTACACGTACCCCTTTGCTCAATGAAAAACCTGTCACAAAATGGCGGAGACGTACGTTAGCAGACCCCATTTTGAGGAATTGACACTAGACAGCGGAAAAGTGCGTGTCCTTGCTTGTGGGATTTCAAAATAGTGTATTTTTTGCTATCAAACTGCGACACACCCGAGTTCACCTCACGCCTGTTTGGACTCTACGCCCGTCAACCGAATTCTGTGCTAACAAGTCGGTCGTGCGTTAGCTTGTTAGCAATAGCATACGCTAGCTAATTTGGCAAACATGACCACGGACCTGTAATGAGCAATCTGTATTAATCCAATTATCCACTGATATATCACGTTAACACAGAACGTATCTACTGTTTTCTAGTCGTTCGTATTCAGTGTTAATACTGATTTAGTGAGAGATCCCGTGTTCTAGCTAGCTATGTGACTCGTTTGGGCGCTAGCTGCACTGGTGTCTCACATGAGCGTGTCAGATTCCAGTCCAGCATAAACATTGCTGGTATTGCTAAGTAGGTTACCTTTCACGTGCCAGCAGCTCATAGATAAGCTCGCTAGGCACTGGCAGACATAATAGTTGTCATCGATTAGTTATATGTAACACCAGACACCGAGCAGTTGAAAACACACCATGCCTGCCAAACTGAAACGTAACGTTATTTATTTTTTAATCGTTCACGCTGGTGTAGTAGCTAACAGGTTAGCCGCCGTATGTGCTTAACGTTATCTTCGCTTGCATTTCCAGTTACAGCATTTGATTTATTATGTGTTCTCCATCCTTGCTCTTAATAGTGATTTGACTTCATGCTAATCAGTAAAACTATAAAAATACTTTGCATTGTTGGTCAATATGCATATATTTACCATTGTAGCTTCTGTACAGTTTATAGGTTTGATAATTACGTGCTAATGCTGGTGACATCCATCTTTGTATTTGTGAAGAATTCACCGTGAACAAATGTAGCCTACAGATATTAGTGCACAATGTATAAAACCGTGAATACATAGTTTCTGTGTGCTGCTTGTCATATAGTGAATGTCATACCTTCTGACTGCTTATGTGTAATTGATTCCTCTACACTAAATGATTATTAAGAATTCCGTTGCTTTATTGGTTGAGAGGAATAGCCTACATTAATTGAATTTTCTGTAGGCTAATAGTTTAAGTGGCATATCAAAACACTGCTTTTTAGTGAATTATTTGCTCGAAGATGGCCTACCTACGGTTATTTTTTATACAAAGCCAACGTAAGGTACACTAGGGAATTACTTAATAATTTTGTGGCTGCTATTCAGTTTTACACCATGTTTGTGGTTGTCTATGGATTGAGGATAAAGATTCATATGGATTATGTAGTTTTTGCACCATATTACATAACTGAAACAGGCTGACATTTCAATCAAATTCCCCATGGGTTTGCCTTAATCCACTGCAGCCAGAATTCTTATGTGGAACCGTGGAAATGCTTAAATAGATATTAAGAATGCCCTGAAATCAATAATTATAGTAGACCTATTTAGGGATTAGGGAATAGTAAAGCTGGATTAGCTGATTTCCAGCAAATTATTGTTTGTATGTTGTCTTCTCCTGAATGTTGTACATCTCTTGTTTGTTTTTTGTATTTTTGATGGCACCTTAAAAAAAGGAGTAGCTCTACTCATCTCATTGTACCTATTTTTGACAATAAAGGATTCTATATCATTGAGATATGTTTTCACATGCATTATTCTATGCTCTCACCTTTAAAGATGATACATGAAACATTTATGTATTAAAAAGGCATACATTAATAAGTACATTTAAACCTTACATCTGTACATTTACGGCTGACTGGTGTTGACATCTTGTTAACAACCTAGTTAAACTGCATGTTAAAAAGTGGTTTGCAGTAAATTAATGTGCATTTATAAGCTGCAGGGTCAGTTATGCCATCACACATAGGTCCTCATCTGATGTGACAGCCAGGCCTCTCATGGCATATGGTGCAAATGGGGCCAGTAAACCCAAGCTGCCTTCAAGCACCCAGACAAAAGATCCCAGTGGGGCATGTAACGTCCCTGCTCCCTGTATCCTCCTTCCTCAGGTTTATCTCTCCAGTAATGGCTGATGTTGACTCATTTGGTGGAAAATGGCTCCATCCTCTGGCAGCCAAGCATCATGTCTCAATGATGGGATGAACTAACTCACCTCATTGTTGGGAACATATTGTACTTGGAGGGATCAGTTGAGATATTTTAAACTGTCACAGTTGGAGCGAGATGCATGCTGGGGGATTAGGGGAGGGAGTGAGTGATCTTAAACCAGCCGGATGTTATGCAGGACGGCACGCTTATCGAATTTAACTTCCAGATTTCTACAACTGTTTTAGTATTTTTAAGTGAGTAAAATTATATTTGCAACCAAGATGGTTTTCAATAAAATAGTACAAAACAGTTATGTATTTTGCTGCTTGCTGAAATATATAACTTAATGTTTACTTTCATATGAACAAGTAATTACCATTATCCAGTTGACCAATGCAACACAACAAAGCATGTTAGAATATGATAGTGTATACTAAAACAAACAACTTATTGATTTGCAAAACATTTTAAAATACTTTCACTTCAGTAGACATATATTAAGAATGAATGTCACAGAAATAAATCATTTAATTCATCCCAAATAGATGAATTACATACAAATAATCTATATTATCACACTTGTAATAACATTGGATTATATAAATCAAATACAAAAATAAATAATTGAGCTGGGATTGGAGTTGCTGAAATGTTTGTTTTTCTGTTAGTCAATCAAAATAAACCAACTGCCAAACAATGTAAATTCATAAGCTGTGTGCAAGATGTATTTTGATAGGCAGTTAAACCAAATGTGAATGAGACAAATCAGAAATATAAGATTGTTGTTTAGCTGTCAGTGTAGGATTTCATTTTTTTTTATTCTGCTGCTTGCTTGAAATATTATGCTTATAAATAATTAAAGTTCTCCTTACCTTTTAAGAATTGATTGATTATATATACTTGTGGCAGTCCTCCTGCTGTGTCTAAATGTGTGTGTTTGTCTGTTTTGGTCACTAGGTGGCAGTTGTGTTCAAAACTTGAGAGCTCAAAGCCACACTTATATATGGTATGGTATGGTATGGTATGGTATTGTACCTGCAGGGATTTGGTCCTTTGTTGAATATATATTCATATATATTTCACTGTCGCTACATAGAAAATAACCTCATATCCACACTACAAAGTTTCAAGAATTTGGTTAGGATACTGTTATGTTACTTTTGTACACAATATGAATCAAAGCATGTCAATTGAACAACAGCTTTGGGAAGTTAAACTGCACTCAAATATTAAATTATTTGATTTACACCCTTAATAGTTTGTAAAATAAAAACTTCATTGATAACACGTGTGTTGAATTGTATTTATCAAAATATATATTATTCAGAGAGACATCATACAGTTAACATTAATGAACATTTATACAACAAAATGATGGATGTAAAAAGGGGGGTCTCAAAGTGTTTTCATATATTGTCAATTTTTGGAATTGGTTTCAAATCATTAATCCCCCCAAATCCCTGTTAAAAAGGGACCATTTTCGAGGACAAATGTTTATGATCAGTAGGTATCGGGTCAGTGAGGTTATTGTGGTTGAAAGATGTGTTTGTAAAAGAAAAACATGCAGTTCCTTGAGCTTAGTCACGCCAGTTTAATTTGCACATGCCAACACAGTAATCCAAGACTGTAGCATTCAGAAAATTACAAAACAGAGTTTCTGTCAATTGCTAGCTGTT